CGCTCTCCTCCCATTATACCCCCGACCTCCCTCACCCCAATATAATACGCCAGCTCTCCTCCCCATATACCCCGATCCTCACCCCCTCGCCCCAATATACGCATGCTCTCCTCCCATATACCCAGACCCCCCCCCAAAATATACGTCAGCTCTCCTCCCAATATACACCAGACACCCCCCCCCCCCCCAATATATAACCACTCTCCTCCCATTATACCCCGGACCTTCCCCCCCCCCCCAATATATACGCAAAGTATCTCCTCTCCATATACCCAGACCTCCCCCCCCAATATATACGCAGCTCTCCTCCCATAATACCCAGAACACTCCCCCCCCCCCCAATATATACGCAGCTCTCCTCCCATATACCCAGACCTCCCCCCCCCCCCCAATATAATACGCAGCTCATCCTCCCATATACCAGACCGTCCCCCCCCCCCCCAATATATACGGACAGCTCTCCTCCCATATACCCCGACCCCCCCCCCCCCAATAAACGCAGCTCTCCTCCCATATACCCAGACCCCGACCTCCTCCCCCCCCCCCCCCCCAATTATATACGCAAGCTCTCCTCCATATACCCCAGAACCCCCCCCCCCAATATATACCAGCTCTCCCTCCATATACCCCGACCCCCCCCCCCCAATATATACGCAGCTCTCATCCCTCCCATATACCCCGACCTCCCCCCCCCCATATATATACGCAGCTCTCCTTTCCCCATATACCCCATGACCTCCCCCCCCCCCAATATATACGCAGCTCTCCTCCCATATACCCCGACCCCCCCCCCCCCAATATATACGCAGAGGCTCTCCTCCCATATACCCAGACCCCCCCCCCCCCAATATATACGCAGCTCTCCTCCCATATACCAGACCTCCCCCGCCCCCCACAGCTCCCCCCCCCCCCAATATATATACGCATCTCACCTCCCCCATATATAATATACGCAGCTCTCCTCCCATATACCCCGACCCCCCCCCCCCCAATATATACGCAGCTCTTCTCCCATATACCCCGACTCCCCCCCCCCCCACCCCCATATATATACGCAGCTCTCCTCCCATATACCCGACCTCCCCCCCCCCCCCCCCACCCAATCCCATATACGCAGCTCTCCTCCCCCCCCCCAATATACACAAAACCTCTGCTTCTCGGCTTTGTATTGCTGGGTGCAATCATCGAACAACTTCTGATTCATCTCCATGAACACACTTCAGAGCGTTATAGATCAGTCCATGTATAGTCCTGAAATATACAACACAGATCAGTCCATGTACAGTCCTGTAATATACAACACAGATCAGTCCATGTATAGTCCTGAAATATACAACACAGATCAGTCCATGTATAGTCCTGAAAATATATCAGTACAACACAGATCAGTCCATGTATAGTCCTGAAATATAGAACACACACAGATCAGTCCATGTATAGTCCTGTAATATAGAACACACAGCCTTCACCATGGAGGGGACGGGGACGTCACGCTGGGACTTGTAGCTGTACAGACACAGTGTGGACCCATGCTAGGGACCATAGGGACCAGTGAGGACATGTTGGGATCTGTAGGACATGGACAGGGAGGTGGGATGTGAACAGAAGAGGATCAGCATCTGCTACACTCCGAGGTGAGATGTGGAGGTGCCCGGATAAGTGATGACATGTTAGGGGCCCCACCAATAAGGGCATCACTGGCCCCTCCCCCTCAATAAGTAACAGCATCACTGGCCCCTCCCCCTCAACAATGGCATCACTGACCCCCCCCCCTCAACAAGTAATGGCATCACTGACCCCTCCCCCTCAACAAGTAATGGCATCACTGGCTGACCCCTCCCCCTCAACAAGTAATGGCATCACTGACCCCTCCCCCTCAACAAGTAATGGCATCACTGACCCCTCCCCCTCAACAAGTAATGGCATCACTGACCCCTCCCCCTCAACAAGTAATGGCATCACTGACCCCTCCCCCTCAACAAGTAATGGCATCACTGACCCCTCCCCCTCAATAAGTGACGGCATCTTTGGGGCCCCATGAGGGACAATGATGGGCACATCCCAGAGAAAAGGATCAATGTACAGTGAAGGTAGAAGGGGAAACTCCACACCAATCCAAGGTCCTCCTGAACCGCCAATCAGAGGAGGATAAAACGATGCGATCCAATGTCCGGGCAAGCGCTGGAAGGGGGCGGGGAAAGGTCGGGGGTGGAGCTTTAAGCTGACATTTGTATACAGGATAATGGTAGGAAAGAACCCCAGAATCCTTGACCCTCCTATCAGATACAATGCCCCCCCTCCCCCGGTCAGAGGTGTGCCCCAGGGGCCCCCATCCCCCCAGGAAGACTTACTTGTTCCAGTGGTTCTTGGAGTTGCGGTACAGCGATGGGAACATGATGGGGAGGATCTGGGCGGCGTTGTCACTCATCAGGCTGAGGATATATTCGTTGTTCCAGTAGTACAGCGCTCGCTCCGCTACCTGCACACCACACACTGATCACCAAGTGGGAGGAGCCATACCAGGGGCCACATCATGGGTCACTAAAGGGAGGGGCCACTGGGGTGAGGACAGCCCCCTGTAATCAGTCTATGGTAATAGAGGGGAAGGGGGAGGGGCCACTGGGGTGAGGACAGCCCCCCTGTAATCAGTCTATGGTAATAGAGGGGAAGGGGGAGGGGCCACTGGGGTGAGGACAGCCCCCTGTAATCAGTCTATGGTAATAGAGGGGGAAGGGGGGTGTGAGGGGCCAATCAGTGGGGTGAGGACAGCCCCCCCTGTAATCAGTCTATGGTAATAGGGAAGGGGGAGGGGTGAGGACAGCCCCTGTAAATCAGTGGTAATAGAGTGAGGACAGCCCCCCTGTAATCAGTCTATGGTAATAGAGGGAAGGGGGAGGGGCCAATGGGGTGAGGACAGCCCCCTGTAATCAGTCTATGGTAATAGAGGAAGGGGAAGGGGAGGGGTGAGGACCACTGGGAGTGAGGACAGCCCCCTGTAATCAGTCTATGGTAATAGAGGGAAAGGGGAATCAGGGGAGGGAAGGGGGCCACTGGGGTGAGGACAGCCCCCTGTAATCAGTCTATGGTAATAGAGGGAAGGGGCCAATGGGGTGAGGACAGCCCCCCTGTAATCAGTGTCTATGGTAATAGAGGGGAAAGGGGCCAATGGGGTGAGGACAGCCCCCTGTAATCAGTCTATGGTAATAGAGGGGGAGGGGCCACTGGGGGTGAGGACAGCCCCCCTGTAATCAGTCTACGGTAATAGAGGGGGAGGGGCCAATGGGGTGAGGACAGCCCCCCTGTAATCAGTCTATGGTAATAGAGGGAAGGGGGAGGGGCCAATGGGGTGAGGACAGCCCCCTGTAATCAGTCTATGGTAATAGAGGGAAGGGGCCAATGGGGTGAGGACAGCCCCCCTGTAATCAGTCTATGGTAATAGAGGGGGAGGGGCCAATGGGGTGAGGACAGCCCCCCTGTAATCAGTCTACGGTAATAGAGGGAAGGGGGAGGGGCACTGGGGTGAGGACAGCCCCCTGTAATCAGTCTATGGTAATAGAGGGAAGGGGGAGGGGCCACTGGGGTGAGGACAGCCCCCTGTAATCAGTCTATGGTAATAGAGGGAAGGGGCCAATGGGGTGAGGACAGCCCCCCTGTAATCAGTCTACGGTAATAGAGGGAAGGGGGAGGGGCCACTGGGGTGAGGACAGCCCCCTGTAATCAGTCTATGGTAATAGAGGGAAGAGGGCCAATGGGGTGAGGACAGCCCCCTGTAATCAGTCTACTGGGAGGAATAGAGGGAATAGGGGGGAGGGGCCACTGGGGTGAGGACAGCCCCCTGTAATCAGTCTATGGTAATAGAGGGAAGGGGCCAATGGGGTGAGGACGGCCCCTCTGTAATCAGTCTATGGTAATAGAGGGAAGGGGCCAATGGGGTGAGGACGGCCCCTCTGTAATCAGTCTATATGGTAATAGAGGGAAGGGGGGGCCACTGGGGTGAGGACAGCCCCCCTGTAATCAGTCTATGGTAATAGAGGGAAGGGGGAGGGGCCAATGGGGTGAGGACAGCCCCCCTGTAATCAGTCTATGGTAATAGAGGGAAGGGGGAGGGGCCACTGGGGTGAGGACAGCCCCCTGTAATCAGTCTATGGTAATAGAGGGAAGGGGGAGGGGCCACTGGGGTGAGGACAGCCCCCCTGTAATCAGTCTATGGTAATAGAGGGAAGGGGCCAATGGGGTGAGGACGGCCCCTCTGTACCCCACAAGTCAGGAGTGGCAGGGGGAGGGAGGAAAGTGTTGGGGTGCAGGGTAGCCATGGTGGTCGCTCACCTGGAAGTGGGGGCTGGACACACACTGCGCAATCTGCCGGAAGAGCGGCTCCATGACTTTGCTGAACTCTGCCGGCTCAATGACGTCCAGGATCTCCTCCAACTCGTTCAGGAACATCACCTCCTTGGGGCTGTGTGTGCGAGGCCAGAACCGCAGGAGGCCACTGATCACCTACACATGGGGAGGAGGCCACGTATGAGGAGGGGGGAGTGAGGACACGTGGGGGGGGGGACAACATATACAGTCTAGGGAACCAATAGCAGAGGAGCCCTCATTCTCTTACTGGGTCGGTGAGCGTGCTGTCCTTCTCCAGAAACTGAACCACACAGTACGCCAGCTGAGGAGAGAGCAGAGATCACCCCATCAATATGTATACAGCCTGCGTAACAGTGCAAGAGGGCGACCAGCCCCCCGCCGACCCACCCGCCCGACCGGCCCCCCCCCGACCCACCCGCCCACCCAACCAACCGCCCCCCGCCGATTCACGGGCCCACCCAACCGCCCCGACCCACCCAACCCAACCCCCACCCCCCAACCCAACGGGACCCACCCAACCGCGAGGACCAATGGGCCCACCCAACCACCCACGGGGCCCACCCAACCGCCCCGACCCACGGGCCCACCCAACCCGCGAGGACAAATGGGCCCACCCAACCCAACCGCCCCGACCCACGGGCCCACCCAACCCAACCGCCCCGACCCACGGGCCCACCCAACCGCGAGGACCAATGGGCCCACCCAACCACGCCCCGACCCAACCGCCCCGACCCACGGGCCCACCCAACCGCGAGGACAAATGGGCCCACCCAACCCAACCGCCCCCGACCCACGGGCCCACCCAACCGCCCCGACCCAAGGGCCCACCCAACCAGGACCCCGACCCCAACCCCCCGAACCCAAACCGCCCCGACCCACGGGCCCACCCAACCGCGAGGACCAATGGGCCCACCCAACCCAACCGCCCCGACCCACGGGCCCACCCAACCGCCGCGAGGACCAATGGGCCCACCCAACCCAACCGCCCCGACCCACGGGCCCACCCCCCAACCGCCCCGACCCACGGGCCCACCCAACCCAACCGCCCCGACCCACGGGCCCACCCAACCGCCCTGACCCACGGGCCCACCCAACCCAACCGCCCCAACCCACGGGCCCACCCAACCGCCCCAAACCAACTGCCCCCCGCACATACACAGTGGTACTCAGCCCCGCCCCGATTGCAGACCTCTTGTGGTAGGTACCTGCGGGTGGTACACGCTCAGTGATTTGGCTTTGTGCAGGGGGAGCAGGACGCGGATCAGGAACATCTTGTGCTCCTCCTTCAGTGGGAGGGCAAAACCATTAATGATGCTGAAAAATAAAGAGAAAAGGAGTGAAGGGGGATGGTAATGATAGGGGCACGGTATTGGGGGGGCGGACCTAGAGTTCTCCATCACGCTTTGAGGGACACAGATGGACAGTAAGAACCCTAGAGCTATACTGCCACCTACAGAAGAGGAGGACACTAGGCACACAGAAAACTGAAAGCCACTCCCCCTGAGGCTATAGCCCCTCCCACCCACTAGATTTGGAAGATATTTCTTTTCTGAAGTTTCTGGGAGATTCTTGTATTTCTGCAATCCTCCAGGTAGCCAGCATGCGGGTCTCCCATCTCATGACACACAAAGTGCTCGGTGTCACAGGGACAACCTATCAGTGTCCTGCTCTGCACAGCACCACAGACTACCTGCCCCCCCCCCCCCCGAAGAGAAGGCGGCTTCCTCAAATGTCTTCTGGATCCGGATTCTGAACGGAAGAGACTCATTGTACTCCGAGGGGGACATCTCATGGATCCCACGAGGAGGAAAGCTGGACTGTTGGAATCCCTTTAGAAGGTAAAACTCCAGAAGTGAGATTTCTGTTGCAGGGGATGCCTAAAACTCGATTGGTCTGAGTGCAGAATTCATGACACCAGTAGGAAGTGACACCCTGGAGAAGACAACTGTACGCTCTCAACTTTGGTGGAATGAATTCGATCAGTTAGTCTTCCCGTCACCATGGAGACATTGTACACATCCATCCACATAAGGACACGTAGGTCACGTCCTCCTGTCTGGGTCAGCAGTGATTTGCAGGCTTTACCATGGCTGATGACCACCATTTGTTTGTGGCCCTTTATTTCGGCTTCGTCTTGGCCCCAGAAGTATCTACAAAGGTCCCCAAACCAGCCCAGGGTCTTCTTCATTTCAGAGGTATTCCAGTATGTGGAAAGCTGGAGGATCTGCTGCAAGAGCTGACCTCCCGGACCTCCTGCAAGAGCCGACCTCCCCTGGACCTCCCGACCTCCTGCAAGAGCCGACCTCCCGGACCTCCTGCAAGAGCCGACCTCCCGGACCTCCTGCAAGAGCCGACCTCCCGGACCTCCTGCAAGAGCCGACCTCCCGGACCTCCCGGACCTCCTGCAAGAGCCGACCTCCCGGACCTCCTGCAAGAGCCGACCTCCCGGACCTCCTGCAAGAGCCGACCTCCCGGACCTCCTGCAAGAGCCGACCTCCCGGACCTCCTGCAAGAGCCGACCTCTTGGACCTCCTGCAAGAGCCGACCTCCCGGACCTCCTTGACCGCTCTGACCACCCCAACCACCCCGGAGCTCCCCGACCACCCGGAGCTCCCGACCACCCACAGACCTCCCCGACCACCCACCTCCCCCGACCTCCTGCAAGAGCCCGACCCCGATCTCCCGACCTGCCCCAAGACCTCCTGCCGACGCTCAGAGCACCCAGACCGCTCAGAGCTCCCAGACTCTGCCAAGACAACCTCCCAGATCTCTCCGACTGCACCAACCGCTCAGAGCTCCCAGACCCGTTACGACCTCCCCGATCTCTCCGACCTCCCAGATCTCTCCGACTCCGACCTCCCCCCGACCGATCTCTCCTCCACCTCCCCAGATCTCTCACGACCTTAGAGCTCCCGATCTCTCACCTCCCAGACCTCCCCCGACCTCCCAGATCCGACCTCCCAGATCTCTCCGACCTCCCAGATCGCTCTCTCGACCCAGACCCCTCCCAGACCTCCCCGATCCGACTGCCCCAACCTCCGACCTCTCCCACCTCCAACGCCTCCCAGACCGTTACGATCTCTCCGACCTCCCCGATCTCTCCGACCTCCCCAGATCTCTCCGACCTCCCAGATCTCTCCGACCTCCCAGATCTCTCCGACCTCCCAGATCTCTCCCGACCTCCCAGATCTCTCCGACCTCCCAGATCTCTCCGACCTCCCCGATCTCTCCGACCTCCCCGATCTCTCCGACCTCCCCGATCTCTCCGACCTCCGACCGATCTCTCCGACCTCCCAGATCTCTCCGACCTCCCCGATCTCTCCGACCTCCCAGATCTCTCCGACCTCCTCTCCGACCTCCCCGATCTCTCCGACCTCCCCGATCTCTCCGACCTCCTCTCTCTCCGACCTCCCCGATCTCTCCGAACCACCCAGACCACCCCCAACCACTCCAACCTCCCCAACCTCTCCAACCACTCTGACCTCCCTGACCTCTCCAACCTCCCCTCCTACTATGACCTCTCTGACCATTCTGAACTCTCCGACCTCTCCATGTGTCACTCACGCTGTGGACCTTGAAGGACTACAGCTGAATCCTGAATCTCTAGGAGGTCCTCTCTGAGTCCTTCACAATGTTTAGAATACTTGGGCCTAGGTGAAGGTTTTCCAGTCAGGGTTGCAGTTGATTGTAAATTCAGGTTGATCCCTTCAGTGGTCCCTGTGGTGCTGCATGCAATTGCTGGAATTGATGGTATTCACCTTCGCTCCCATTTGCTCGATCCAACTACAGACATTTCAAGACAACATTCTTATAGCAGAAAACAAATCCAGCCTCCCTCTGGACGGAATGATGTTCCCCAGTGGTGGGTGCTCCTGCTCACAGTGACCCCCATTCTCATTTCTTGTCCTGGTGTCACAGAAACAGGAAGTGAGGGGAAATCACCTCAGTGGAGTCACGGAGCTTGAAACAAACCTGACTAAGGTTCACAGAGATGATGATCTAGTGAAGGGGGAAGGTCACAGTGGGGAGGGGCTTAAAGGATTGATAGCAGATTGCAGTAGGTGGAGCAAGGCCAGTCACACATGATTCCATGTCAGGAGTACTTACCTGCCAAGTATTTCCAGCAGTTCAGCAATTCCATTGTGATGTCTCACGTCTCGTATATAAACCTGGAGATAAAACAACAAAAAGGCAGATAAAAGCCTCTCCCCATTCCACGACGATCGGCCCTCCCCGCCACCAACTACTCTGGCCAATCGTTACCATGGGAGCCCACGTGGCCCTCCAACCAGACCTGCCAAAGGGGCCCTTCTTAGGGCGATGGTCATAACCTACCATGTACCAACAATGCCCCTCCCCACTGATGGCATAACACCTACCTCCCCCTCCCCCAGTGACCTACCTTCCGCTGATTACCCAATGGCATGCATGACCCACCTGTAGAAGATGTTGTTGATGTGACGAGTCTGAGATGTACGCTCGGAAGCCCCAGAAACTTGCCATAGATCCGGTGCAGGAATCGTCTTCAGGGAAATCCCGTTCCCCCCACGCACATCCACTTCACTGTCAAACAGATCCAGGAGCTGCGGAGGAGAAGGCGGGAGGAGAACACGCTTCATAAAAACACAACGCGGCGACCCCCGGCGGACCCCGCCACACAGACGCCGCCCCACCTCCCGCACAACGCAGCAGACGCCGCACCACCCACCCTACCAACCCCTGCCACCCAGAACCCGCCACCCGCCACCAAGACACAGCGACCCCTTCCCCGCCACGCAGACACAGCGACCCTTCCCCCGCCACACCGCAGACACCTTCCAGCGACCCCGGCCCCACGCCACGCAGACGGCCGCACATCCCCCCCGCCACGCAGACGCCCGCCACCCCCCGCAGACCACCAACGACACGCCGCCAACCCCCCCACGCAGGACGCCCTGTCCCCCCCCCGGCCCACGCAGCCACCCAGGCCACCCCCCCCACACGCAGCCACCACACCAGACCCCTTCCCCGCCACTACATCCCCCGGCCACCAGACCCCACCCGCCACGACCAGCAGGTCACGCCGCGACCCCCACGCCACGCAGACGACCGCGACCCCCCCCACCCCGCCACCGCACCCCCAGGAACAGACGCCCCCGCCACGCACCTACCACAACACCCGCCCGACACCGAACCACTCCCGCACCACCCCTTGCCACGAACCGCCAGTTACGCATGAACGCGGCCATCCCCGCTCACAGACGCCGCGACCCCCGCCACGCCACGCCGCCCCTCCCCCCACGCAGGCCCGACCCCCGCCCCACCCCCCCCTCCCACCCACCCCCCGCCCCCCCCCCACACCCACCAGCCCAACTCACCCCCCGCAACAGCCCCCCCCCACCCTACCAGCGACCCCCCCCCGCCCAACGCCACCCCCGGCCACGCAAACAGACGCGGCAACACCCCCGCCACGCAGACGACGACGTCAAAACCCCCTGCCACGCAGACGACGCGGCATCTTTGACCCCCCACGCAGGCGCGGCAACCCCCGCCACGCAGGCCCCGGCAACCCCCGCCCGCAGGCGCCCCCAACCCCCCCCCGCCACGCAACGCGGCAAACCCCCAGCGCCGAGAACCCCCCCACGCAGGCGCGCCGCAACCCCCGCCACCAGACGCCGCAACCCCCCGCCACCAGACGCGGCCACCCCCCCACGCCCAGTACGCGGCCACCCCCGGCCACCATAGCAGACGCCGCGACCCCCGCCACCAAGGACGCCGCGACCCCCCCACCTCACCAAACGAGACCCCCCGCCCTCCACCAAGACGCCGCGACCCCCGCCACCACCAGACGCCACCCCCCCCTTGTCCCCCCACTGGAAAACACGCCAGCCACACAGACACAGCGACCCTGCCCGCCACCAAGACACCGGTGACCCCGCCACAGCGGCGACCCCTGCCCCCCCACTACCAAACACCCCCATGCCCCGCCAACACCAGACACGGAGACCCCGCCCCGCAGTACACCAACCACCACCCCTGCCCCGCCACCAAGACACGGAGACCCCGCCACGCAGACACCGCGACCCCCGCTACGCAGACACCCTCGACCCCCTGCCCCGCCACACAGACACGGTAAACCCCACATCAAAGACACGGTGACCCCCCCTCCCCGCCACACACCAGACACGGCGACCCCTGCCCCACCACACAGACACGCAATCCCCTGCATCACAGACCGGTGACCCCGCACCCCACCACACCCACCCTCACAGCCCACCACCCGCCGCACACGCACACCCAACCCCACATCACATAGACACGTGACCCCCACCCCGCCACACAGACACGCGAACCCCTGCTCCTCCACGCAGACACGTATGCCCTGCATCAAAGACATGGTGAACCCCCCCCCCTGCCCACAGACAACCCCCTCCCCAAACCAGTGACACCCGAGGTGGAGCCACCCTCGCCCCGCCACAACAGAATTGCTGGAGTCAGACACCAACCCCACCGCTTCTGCTCCCCACGCACACGTGGTGTTCACTCCCATCCCCCCACCCACCTTCTCACACACACACCCCCGCTCTGCCACACACACACACACACCCAACCCCCCACCACGTGGTGTCCCCCCGTGTCACCCACACACACACACGTGGTGTCACCCCCCCCCTTTACACACACACACACCCCCCCTCCACACACACACACACCCCCGTGGTGTCACCCGCGTCTGCCACCCCACCACACACCACCCCCTGCACACACCCACACACACGTGGTGTCCCCCCTGCACACACACACACACACCCCCCCCCCCCCCCCCCTGCAGACCCCCCACACCCCCCCCCACCCCACCCGCCATCCCTCTGCACACACACACACGTGGTAGTTCAACCCCACACACACCACACACACACACGTGGTGTCACCCCCAAACTGCAATCACACACACACACACAAACACACCCCCCCACCCCACCCACACGTGGTGACACCCCTGCACCCCACACACACACACACGTGGTGTCACCACCCCGCTCTGCACACACACACACACACGTGGTGTCACCCCGCTCTGCACACACACACCACACGTGGTGTCACCCCCCGCTCTGCACACACACACACACCTTACCGACAGGACGAATTTCTTTTCTGTCGATGTATTTCTTGGCTACGTTGGGTTGGAAGTCCCGTGGGACTCCAACCAGGAATCAGAGGAAGAACTCATAAACCAGCTGGGGAGAAGAACAGAAATAAGAGTCCAATATGGAGGACGACGTCCCCCCCAACGCCCCAACCAATCCTATTCCTGGAAGACAGCTCCACCCACCTACATCTTATGCAGCCCCTCCCCCATAATGACATCACACAACCCTGACACTGAGCTCCGCCTTCATCTCATGTACCTGTAGATGTGGCCAGGCGGCCTCCAATGTCGGCTCGTCCTCCTCGGATCGAACTCGGCTCCGCTGGGATTAGAAGAGGGAGGCAGAGGCTGAAGAGGTTCAACCGAGAACTGACACAGATCACACATGATTAATGGCGGGAGGGGACACCGGGCCGGGAGAAGCGGGGCAGGGGGAGGGGCTTACCACCATGTGCACCAGCGCCTCCGGATAAATGGCGTCTGTCAGCACGTCCCGGCTGTGTGTGATGTACTCCACCATCTCCGTCAGAGCCGCCCGCTTCACACCTCCTTGTACTTCAGGTCACTCAGAGGATCCGACACGAAATCAAAGAGGACGCAGCACTGGCCGGATCTTCTCCACGAACAGGACCTCCAGCTCCTCTCCGGGGGGACATTCTGCGGGAGACACACGCTTTATTACCACCCCCCCATCCCAGAGGACCCCAATATCAACCCCAAATAACCTGGAACATCTCAGACAAATCGCTAACATTCCCGAAACGGAGAATCCCGCAACGTTCCACCGACCTGGGGAGAGGGAGGGGCTTCTGTGTCATACCTGTGGAAGCCGGGAATCACTGTACTAGGCATTGCGCCTCACTACAGAATACTACGCCCCTACTACAGAGATACCACAGCCCCTACTACAGAGATACCGCGCCCCTACTACAGAGATAACCGATACCGCACCCCTACTACAGAGATACCACGCCCCTACTACAGAGATACCACGCCCCTACTATACTACAGCGATACCGCAGCCCTACTACAAAGATACTACAGAGATACCCCTACAGAGATACCGTGCCCCTACTACAGAGATACTACACCCCTACTACAGAGATACCACACCCCTACTACAGAGATACTACAGTGATACACAGACACCCCTACTACAGAGATACCACGCCCCTACTACAGCGATACCGCACCCCTACTACAGAGATACTACAGCGATACCACACCCCTACTACAGAGATACTACGCCCCTACTACAGAGATACTACAGTGATACTACACCCCTACTACAGAGATACCACCTACTACAGAGATACACTAACAGAGATACCACGCCCCCTACTACAGAGATACCGCGCCCCTACTACAGAGATACCGCGCCCTACTACAGAGATACCACGCCCCTACTACAGAGATACCGCGCCCCTACCACAGAGATAACGCGCCCCTACCACAGAGATACCGCGCGCCCTACCACAGAGATACCAGCGCCCCTACCACAGAGATACCGCGCCCCCCTACCAACAGAGATACCACGCCCCTACCACAGAGATACCGCGCCCCCCTACCACAGAGATACCGCGCCCCTACCACAGAGATACCCGCGCCCCTACCACAGAGATACCGAGCCCATACTACAGAGATAACGCGCCCCTACCACAGAGATAACGCGCCCATACCACAGAGATAACCGCGCCCCTACCACAGAGATACCGCGCCCCTACTACAGCGATACCGCGCCCCTACTACAGAGATACCGCGCCCCTACTACAGAGATACCGCGCCCCTACTACAGAGATACTACAGAGATACTACAGAGATACCGTACGCCCCTACTACAGAGATACTACGCCCCTACTACAGAGATACTACAGTGATACTACACACCCCTACTACAGAGATACTACGCCCCTACTACAGAGATACTACGCCCCTACTACAGAGATACTACAGAGATACCGCGCCCCTACCACAGAGATACCGCGCCCCTACCACACAGAGATACTACACCCCTACTACAGAGATACTACACCCCTACTACACTGCTACTACAGTAATACTACACCCTTACTACACCCCTACTACTACCTCGCTACTGCACCCCCTACTACAGAGATACTACACTGCTACTACACCCCTAGTACACTCCTACTACACCGCTACTAAAGTGATGCTACACCCCTACTACTGCAATACTATACCCCTACTACACCACTACCGCAGTGTGGGAAGCCAGCGCCAACTAGGGAGGGACACTACACCCCTACTACAGCGATACCACACCCCCTACTACAGCGATACCACACCCCCTACACTACAGCGATACCACACCCCTACTACAGCGATACCACAGCGCTACCGCGGTGTGGGAAGCCAGTACTAACTGGGGGGGGGGGCCTGTCGTGGGAAGGCAGACACGACATGGGGGCGGAGTTTCCTTGGTGCCGGACATGATGCATTATGGGTACTGCAGAGCTCCATACCCCACCATAGGAGGACTCTCCACCTCCTCCTCCCTGGAGTTCCATGTCGGCTCTCCTACATAGAAAGGTGATAACATGACATACAACAGACGGACCCCAACACGCGGCAGAACCCCAACACGCGGCAGAACCCCAACACGCGGCAGACCCTCAACACGCGGCAGACCCCCAACACGCGGCAGACCCCCAACACGCGGCAGAACCCCCAACACGCGGCAACACGCGGCAGAACCCCAACCCCCAACACGCGGCCCAACACGCGGCAGACCCCCCAACACGCGGCAGACCCCCAACACGCGGCAGACCCTGCAGAGGCACAATGGCAGAGCCGGACTCACCTTTCAGGGCCGGCAGTTTATGGAGCTCTCTATTCTTGCTCAGGCTGAATCGGGAAGAGCTCTGTCTGCGCTCCCTCTTCACCACCTGACCACCTCCGCCATACTGGATCTTGTTCAGCTGTGTCGGGGAGGGGCGCTGGGGCTGGGCCGCTTGTTCATTCCTGGCTGTACCTGGGGACCATACAGATCCAACATTACACCGAATCACAGTTATGGGGGGGGGTAACAAAACTGACCCCCCCCCACCTCCAGGCAGGATGGGAAGGGTTAGGGGGGCTAGGATCCAGCAAGTGTCCCCAGAGGAGGCTTCTCCTTACTTCCTGTTGTACCGGGACAGGACGGGGGGGGGGGGGGGGGGACAGTAACTCAACTACTGAAGTGTCACTAAAATACCAAACATGTTGTACTCACCTCTCTGTACACTGGTATCGTACAGAGGGGCCCCAAACCTCCTCTTCTGGGGTCCCATCACTGCGCTTCACTACTCCTCTTTATGTGCCCCCATAACAAAGGGGGCAAACAGTACAGGCGCAATTTCTGCCCCTCAGTTCCCACTGACAACTTTGACCTTTCTGTAAGGGACATTCTTCCCACCGACCACCAATGTAAGGGACGTTCTTCCCACTGACCCCCAATGTAAGGGACATTCCTCTTACTGACCCCCCCAATGTAAGGGACATTCTTCCCACCGACCCCCAATGTAAGGGACATTCTTCCCACCGACCCCCAATGTAAGGGACATTCTTCCCACCGATCACCAATGTAAGGGACATTCTTCCCACTGATCACCAATGTAAGGGACGTTCTTCCCACCGACCCCCAATGTAAGGAACATTCTTCCCACCGGCCCCCAATGTAAGGGACATTCTTCCCACCGACCCCCAATGTAAGGGACATTCTTCCCACCGACCCCCAATGTAAGGGACATTCTTCCCACCGACCCCCAATGTAAGGGACATTCTTCCCACCGACCCCCAATGTAAGGGACATTCTTCCCACTGACCCCCAATGTAAGGGACATTCTTCCCACTGACCCCCAATGTAAGGGACATTCTTCCCACTGACCCCCCAATGTAAGGGACATTCTTCCCACCGACCCCCAATGTAAGGGACATTCTTCCCACCGACCCCCAATGTAAGGGACATTCTTCCCACTGACCCCCAATGTAAGGGACATTCTTCCCACTGACCCCCAATGTAAGGGACATTCTTCCCACTGACCCCCAATGTAAGGGACATTCTTCCCACTGACCCCCAATGTAAGGGACATTCTTCCCACTGACCCCCCAATGTAAGGGACATTCTTCCCACCGACCCCCAATGTAAGGGACATTCTTCCCACCGGCCCCCAATGTAAGGGACATTCTTCCCGCCGACCCCCAATGTAAGGGACATTCTTCCCGCTGACCCCCAATGTAAGGGACATTCTTCCCGCTGATCCCCAATGTAAGGGACATTCTTCCCGCTGACCCCCAATGTAAGGGACATTCTTCCCGCTGACCCCAATGTAAGGGACATTCTTCCCGCTGATCACCAATGTAAGGGACATTCTTCCCACTGACCCCCAATGTAAGGGACACTCTTCCCACTGATCCCCAATGTAAGGGACATTCTTCCCACTGACCCCCCCAATGTAAGGGACATTCTTCCCACTGACCCCCAATGTAAGGAACATTCTTTCCACTGACCCCCAATGTAAGGAACATTCTTCCCACTGATCACCAATGTAAGGGACATCCTCCCACTGACCCCCAATGTGAGGGACATTCTTCCCACTGACCCCCAATGTAAGGGACATTCTTCCCACTGACCCCCCAATGTAAGGGACATTCTTCCCACTGACCCCCAATGTAAGGGACATTCTTCCCACTGACCCCCAATGTAAGGGACATTCTTCCCACTGACCCCCAATGTAAGGAACATTCTTTCCACTGACCCCCAATGTAAGGAACATTCTTCCCACTGACCCCCAATGTAAGGGACATTCTTCCCACTGACCCCCAATGTAAGGGACATTCTTCCCACTGACCACCAATGTAAGGGACATTCTTCCCACTGACCCCTCAATGTAAGGGACATTCTTCCCACTGACCCCCAATGTAAGGGACATTCTTCCCACTGACCCCCAATGTAAGGGACATTCTTCCCACTGACCCCCAATGTAAGGGACATTCTTCCCACTGACCCCCCAATGTAAGGGACATTCTTCCCACTGACCAGAACTCTACTGTATCCTGAGTTATAGATATACTCATTTTTAGAAGGGGTTCCCCGAGCCCGGAAAGTTCCAGAAAGGGTTCCTCTGTGTAGAGAATGTTGAGAAAGGTTGGTCTATGGAGCCACACTCCACGCAGGCGCACACACACGCAGGCACACACACGTACACACACACACACACGGACAATCGTATATCCTTGGATCACCTTTACATATAAACGTAATCACAAACAGACGGAGGAGGAGGAGGAGCCAAGACATGTAAAGGTAGAAGAAGAATGTGAGGTAAATCTCAGAGTGATTGAATATAGTGTTTGGGTCACTAGTAGTGCTGTGAAAAGCATATTCAGCCACTAGTGTGACATCACTTCCTGTTTACTCCCATCCACCTCCCGACATGTTTCGTCTTCACCAACTTCCTCCAGGAACATGTCGGGATGTGGAGGGGCGTACACAGGAAGTGATGTAGCGGAAGTGGCTGAGCATGGAGGCGAGATCCCAGCAGCTTTCCCAGTTTGTGGATTCACTGTACATACAGCGGTCAGGTGAATGAGGTCAGATGTGGAGTTCAACAATTTGTCTGGTGAGAGCCTCCAATTCTATGAAGTTCATCACACAGCTGGAGCGGATTCCCCGTACATGTTCTGAGCCGATGATCACACTGAAAGCCGAGTTCAGAAGGAGCGGTGTTCGTTGAGGGGAAGCGGATGTGGTCTGGATCTTTTCCCTGAGATATGAGTGGGAATAGGATGTGGGGAGTCACACTGGATTGGGGCGTTTGGTGGGAGTCCCTGAGGGCACCATTGGTGATAGATGTTTAACAGCTTTGCGACCTACTGCTACAGGGCGGCATGGCTGCACAAAATCACGCGATTCTGCATTTCCAGGTAGGGAACGCGCTCTCCTGCCACCTTTGACAGCAAAAGCTCAGGGATTGATAGGGCACAGCAACCCACAAGTGGTGAGAAGAAACTCCTGAGTTCACTAGAAAATTCTGGTACTCAATCCCATGAAGTCATCCCTACTCTAAGGATAGAGTGCCGAGAAAAGCCCCTCCGAAGTGGGATGCAGGACATCGAAAGTGGACATTGGCTTCAGAATGGCAAGATGGAACAACCAACACTGAAGACAGAGCCAACACCCTCACAGTACCCTAGAAGATGCCCTGAGGACCAAGAACCATCACCTGACTGAAGGCCAAAAAAAAGGTAGCATCTGAAAGGCGATCCTCTAAACCTAAAGGGTGTGCCTCCACCAAGGGAAGAGAGCTTAACTCTAGGTGGACAGGTCACTCAAAGCCATCCAGTTCTTCTCTATGCCTGCCAAGGAAATCCTGTAACAGGAAACCAATGTGCACCATTCATCCACAATCCCAAGAGACACGGAGTCCTTTCCTCTGGAATACCCTATCAGGGGTTGTATGGATATTCCAGGAGCAATGTGGCCCATAGGGACAGGCATGTCATATTGTCTCCAGCACTGAAGTGGCTGAAGAGGACCAAAAAAAGAACAGAAGAGGGAAGGAGCCATCATCTGGGAGAAAGGTCCCTCAATGCTGGAGATCCTGCAGGGAACAGAGAGAGGTATCTGCCTGTCTGATGACAAAGAATTATGGAGGAACTTGACAACATACCATGCTGAAACATCAGAAAGGGAGATCCGCCTGGAGGTGGTGAGCCATTCTGGAAGAGGTTATCCACTAGGAGCCATGAACTCTAATTTCTTCATCCAAGGTCACCTTACTGTCCCACAATAGTGATGCCAGGAAACCACTAGACCAACACAAGAGTCCACGCTCTTAGAAATATGCAAGGACCCCCCCAAAAGTAAAGTTATCTATCCTGGTAAGGGACAGACAAAGCGCATCCCAGCTGACCTAGTAGGTTAGAGGGTCCCTCAGGAGAGGGGCAACCCTGAGGTCCCAGGTCCTGCTAAGGGGCTTACATGGCCGAAGGCAAGAGAAATTCCCCGAGATAGCGTGAACAGCTGAAGAGGGTGCCAAAAGCAAAAGAATTACCATGAGAAGCTATGTGGTGTGCTCTACAAATCTCATGACTGAAGGGCAAGCTACCCATGTACCCAGAAGGGCTCCTCCAATGTAGAATTAGGTCCACACCCATGGATTGCCCATGGACTTAGCCAGTAGAATACTCCAAGCCTAGCAAAAAATCCAAGATTTAGGCTCAATGTGAACAAATCACCAGGTTGGTCCAGATGGTTTACACCCATGTGTCCTTAGGGAACTTGCTCTCAGTTATAGCCAAACAACTGTGACAACTATTTCAAGACACCTTATTGACTGGAAAGGTACCAGCTGATTGGTGTAGAGCAAATGTGGTGCCAGTTTACAGAAGAGGATAGAGATGTACGCCAGGAAACAAAGAGACCATTCAGCCTAACATCAATAGTATGTAAGGCGATCGAGGGAATGGTATGGGACTCCATCTGTAAAAAGTATCCTAAGTGACAACCAGCATGGACTTGAGACCGTCCTTGGAAGCTCAACTCTGATCGTTCTAGGAGGGTTGAGAAATTGGATGGTGGAAGGTCAGTGGGCAAAGATCAAGATTTTCAGCTATAAAATGCAAATCTGTTGAAGTTGATGAAATTTTATGCGCATGGATAGGATAAAACTTAGCAAATACGTAATTTTTCTTCTTCACTGATGGGCAATAATATGCTGCACTGATGAGGAGGCACTGATGAGGAGGCACTGATGGTCAGGGTGTGCGGTCCCAGGATAGCCGGTTATCGGCTCTCCTTCCTCGCACAGTGACAGAGCTGAGGACAGGAAATGCCGATAACTGCCATTTGTTTACATAGGATTGGCCGTCATAGGCCCTTACCTCGATTTGTGATCAGCTCCAAAAGGACATAGCAACCACAGAGCGATCGGCGCACAGGGGAGGGGGGTTTCCGGGAGGACATCAATAGACAGAGAGGGCGGGCGGGAGCAAGAGGAGCTTTGCTATGGGGGGGGGGGGGGGGTCGGGGACTGAACTGCAAAATTAACTTCACAAAGAGGGCCAGACCTGCTGTCAATGGAAAGAACTGCAAAAGATACAAAGGAAGGGTTGTAGCCCGCGGCAAACTACAGCTAGTAGTTCTCCCACCAAAACCTAAAGGACCCCAGACCTGCAGTCAATGGTTAGCGGAGGTATCAGGAGGGAGAGGTGATGCCCAGGAATAGCTAGTACCCTCCTGGGCCCTAAAGGCCTCCTGAGGCAGCAGGTGGGGTATCGCCTCCTGGGTGGGCGCCTCCTGGGCATGGGCCCTCCTGGGCCCTGGGCGCCTCCTGGGCGATGGGCGCCTCCTGGGCATGGGCGCCTCCTGGGTCAGCTACAAAACATTGTGCCTGTGAGGGGCTTCAGCCTCTCGGTGCCGGGACTTTCCTGAGGGCAGACAGAGCCGATTTCAGGCGATTGTCCTGGAGAAGGACTTGGAAACACATTTTTGCTGGGAATCGCGGTGACGAGACCACCTACAGTGTCCCCTGGCAGTATATCAGAGCATTCACACATCGCCACCAAAGTCTGCACAACCCACCTCTTCGGAACTTCCTCCGCCTTCCTTGCCGCTCTTCACCGAACTTCTCCCCACCGCCGGCTTCACTGGATCCTAGAAAACACAATAAAACAGTCGGGTAGGAACTTCCTTAGACTAGATTTCACATACAATGTTCTAGATTAGAGGTCTCCAAACTGTGGCCCTTACCAGCCTTTAACTGGCCCTTGGGGCACTATTCCTCCCACTGACACCAACGATGGGGCGCTATTCCTCCCACTGACACCAACGATGGGGCGCTATTCCTCCCACTGACACCAACGATGGGGCGCTATTCCTCCCACTGACACCAATGGGGGACACTATTCCTCCCACTGACACCAAATGATGGGGCACTATTCCTCCCACTGACACCAATGATGGGACACTATTCCTCCCACTGACACCAACGATGGGGACACTATTCCTCCCACTGACACCAACGATGGGGGCGCTATTCCTCCCACTGACACCAACGATGGGGCGCTATTCCCCCCCACTGACACCAACGATGGGGCGCTATTCCCCCACTGACACCAACGATGGGGCGCTATTCCTCCCCACTGACACCAACGATGGGGCGCTATTCCTCCCACTGACACCAACGATGGGGCGCTATTCCTCCCACTGACACCAACGATGGGGCGCTATTCCTCCCACTGACACCAACGATGGGGCGCTATTCCTCCCACTGACACCAACGATGGGGCGCTATTCCTCCCACTGACACCAACGATGGGGCGCTATTCCTCCCACTGACCACCAACGATGAGGCCATGTTTATTCTCACCCCACTGATGCTGGGGCCTGGGACTTTATTGCCCCCACTGACACCAATCAATCGATGGAAGTACAGTAAACTGTCCCTTTGACTGAAAAGTTTGGGGCGCTATTCCCCCATCTAGAATGCAGGAGCTCCCCCTGAATCCAAAAGGAAAAAAGCACAGGCCGGTCTATCATGGGGACCACAAACCCTGGGCAAACGCTGACTACCAGTGTAGGAGGAGATTACCTCCCTCCATCATACAGGACCACCCCGCGTAGGAGGAGACCTCCCTCCATCATACAAGACACCCCCGTAGGAGGAGACCTCCCTCCATCATACAAGACACCCCGCGTAGGAGGAGACCTCCCTCCATCATACAAGACACCCCGCGTAGGAGGAGACCTCCCTCCATCATACAAGACACCCCGCGTAGGAGGAGACCTCCCTCCATCATACAGGACACCCCGCGTAGGAGGAGACCTCCCTCCATCATACAGACACCCCGCGTAGGAGGAGACCTCCCTCCATCATACAGGACACCCCGCGTAGGAGGAGACCTCCCTCCATCATACAGGACACCCCGCGTAGGAGGAGACCTCCCTCCATCATACAGGACACACACAGCGTAGGAGGAGACCTCCCTCCATCATACAAGACACCCCGCGTAGGAGGAGACCTCCCTCCATCATACAAGACACCCCGCGTAGGAGGAGACCTCCCTCCATCATACAAGACACCCCCGCGGGAGACCTCCCTCCATCATACAGACACCCCGCGTAGGAGGAGACCTCCCTCCATCATACAGGACACCCCGCGTAGGAGGAGACCTCCCTCCATCATACAGGACACCCCGCGTAGGAGGAGACCTCCCTCCATCATACAGGACACCCCGCGTAGGAGGAGACCTCCCTCCATCATACAGGACACCCCGCGTAGGAGGAGACCTCCCTCCATCATACAGGACACCCCCTCCATCATACAGGACACCGTAGGAGGAGACCTCCCTCCATCATACAGGACACACCCCGCGTAGGAGGAGACCTCCCTCCATCATACAGGACACACCCGCGTAGGAGGAGACCTCCCTCCATCATACAGGACACACCGCGTAGGAGGAGACCTCCCTCCATCATACAGGACACACACAGCGTAGGAGGAGACCTCCCTCCATCATACAGGACACCCCGCGTAGGAGGAGACCTCCCTCCATCATACAGGACACCCCGCGTAGGAGGAGACCTCCCTCCATCATACAGGACACACACAGCGTAGGAGGAGACCTCCCTCCATCATACAGGACACACACACAGCGTAGGAGGAGACCTCCCTCCATCATACAGGACACACACAGCGTAGGAGGAGACCTCCCTCCATCATACAGGACATCCCAGGACGTAGGAGGAGACCTCCCTCCATCATACAGGACATCCCGCGTAGGAGGAGACCTCCCTCCATCATACAGGACACCCCGCGTAGGAGGAGACCTCCCTCCATCATACAGGACACCCCGCGTAGGAGGAGACCTCCCTCCATCATACAGGACACCCCGCGTAGGAGGAGACCTCCCTCCATCATACAGGACACCCCGCGTAGGAGGAGACCTCCCTCCATCATACAGGACACCCCGCGTAGGAGGAGACCTCCCTCCATCATACAGGACACCCCGCGTAGGAGGAGACCTCCCTCCACTGTGGAAAGGATGACTCACACACAGACTCCTCCCCCGTTGTATATCCAGAATGAGAGGGAGGACCCCTAAACAGACTCCTCCCACATTGTGTATATCCGGTGTATTAGAAGGATTGGGGGGGATTTCTTTGGATGTACAGTGTGGGAGGAGTCTATGTATAGGGGTCATCCCTCATTCTGGATATAGTGTAGGAGGAGTCTATGCGTAGCGTCCTCCCTCATGCTGAATACAGTGTGGGAGGAGTCTGTAGGGGTCATCCCACTCATTCTCTGGATATGCAGTAAGGGAGGAGTCTATGTGCAAGGGCTCCTCCCTCTCATTCTGGATATACACAGTACACCCGATTGGGTGATTCCATCAGAGACTTCCTTCCTCCCGCTGGGACCCGGAACCGCGGTATTCTAGCCGGACGTCGCACCCGAGACGAGCTCAGATGCCAAACCAACTACTTTATCCATGATACAGGTTTTTATACCCCCAGAAATAGGGGCAGTCCCCACATGAACAATACAACAAATATTACACTGAGACAAACATCCCACAATGATTGGGTAACGAGGTGAAGCTGATAGTCTAACCCCATCATGTAGGAACCTCCAGGAGGACCAGCCAACAGACAGAAACAACAGGAGACACTAAATAATGGGACAAATACAGAACGGTAACCCCCCCCCCCCCTAATAAAACAGACTACAGCGGGAGACCTCCCATCGGGCTGTTCTGAGCGGATTATATTACCACCTCCTCTAGGGGGTCTGGGGGTAGTTGAAGCAGTCAGTCCTGGTCTGGGCACAGAGACCCCAAATCTGTACCCTGGTCCTCCAGTTCTCAGAGTCTGTGTGTTTCGGGAAGTCATGGACTTGAATCCAAAAGTAAAACTACTTCAAAGAGGTCCCCCCCCCCGGCACACACCTCCCAAAGAACAGAGCCCCCTCAAACGCTCATACCCATGGTAAGTAGGCAAGAGGCTAGCTTGCAGCCCCCTCCACAAGTCCCTGTTGGGTCCGTCACATTTCTGCCCCCTCAAAAGTAGACTAACCAGGTCCCAGACCTCCACCTGGACTGGACATGCGTTAGTCGGGCACATTGAACCCACATAGTCAATCCACACAATCTCTGTTCTTGGCTGCAGGGAAGAGTTGTCGTCGGTGAGGAGCAGAGGTCATGGACCCTCTGTCCGGCTGCCAGTGCTTCAGGCAAGAGGTCTTCACCATTCCGGGGCCGATGTGCTGCTGGGTAGATGGAGCCGACTGTCCCAACTCGCTGGGGCTGTGAAGACACAGTAGGTGATAGACAGAGCCCAGTGGTGCTTCAGTTGGGGACCCCACATCCTCCACTCTGACTGACTGTTGAGGAGGACCACCTCTCCGCCCAGACCGTGGAACCGCCGCTGGGGAGGGAGGAGGACCACCTCTCCTCCCAGACCGTGGAACAGCCGCTGGGGAGGGAGGAGGACCACCTCTCCTCCCAGACCGTGGAACAGCCGCTGGGGAGGGAGGAGGACCACCTCTCCTCCCAGACCGTGGAACAGCCGCTGGGGAGGGAGGAGGACCACCTCTCCTCCCAGACCGTGGAACAGCCGCTGGGGAGGGAGGAGGACCACCTCTCCTCCCAGACCGTGAAACCGCCGCTGGGGAGGGAGGAGGACCACCTCTCCTCCCAGACCGTGGAACCGCCGCGGAGGAGGGAGGAGGACCACCTCTCCTCCCAGACCGTGGAACCCGCCGCGGGGGAGGGAGGAGGACCACCTCTCCTCCCAGACCGTGGAACCGCCGCTGGGGAGGGAGGAGGACCACCTCTCCTCCCAGACCGTGGAACAGCCGCTGGGGAGGGAGGAGGACCACCTCTCCTCCCAGACCGTGGAAAAGCCGCTGGGGAGGGAGGAGGACCACCTCTCCGCCCAGACCGTGGAACCGCCGCTGGGGAGGGAGGAGGACCACCTCTCCGCCCAGACCGTGGAACCGCCGCTGGGGAGGGAGGAGGACCACCTCTCCGCCCAGACCGTGGAACCGCCGCTGGGGAGGGAGGAGGACCACCTCTCCGCCCAGACCGTGGAACCGCCGCTGGGGAGGGAGGAGGACCACCTCTCCGCCCAGACCGTGGAACCGCCGCTGGGGAGGGAGGAGGACCACCTCTCCGCCCAGACCGTGGAACCGCCGCTGGGGAGGGAGGGAGGACCACCTCTCCGCCCAGACCGTGGAACCGCCGCTGGGGAGGGAGGAGGACCACCTCTCCGCCCAGACCGTGGAACCGCCGCTGGGGAGGGAGGAGGACCACCTCTCCGCCCAGACCGTGGAACCGCCGCTGGGGAGGGAGGAGGACCACCTCTCCGCCCAGACCGTGGAACCGCCGCTGGGGAGGGAGGAGGACCACCTCTCCGCCCAGACCGTGGAACCGCCGCTGGGGAGGGAGGAGGACCACCTCTCCGCCCAGACCGTGGAACCGCCGCTGGGGAGGGAGGAGGACCACCTCTCCGCCCAGACCGTGGAACCGCCGCTGGGGAGGGAGGAGGACCACCTCTCCCAGCCCAGACCGTGGAACCGCCGCTGGGGAGGGAGGAGGACCACCTCTCCGCCCAGACCGTGGAACCGCCGCTGGGGAGGGAGGAGGACCACCTCTCC